TATGCATCAGTAACACAAGATCTGAGTACTTCTACTTTATTAAAGTACAGATGTGAGTACTTCTACTTTATTAAAGTACAGATGTGAGTACTTCTACTTTATTAAAGTACAGATCTGAGTACTTCTACTTTATTAAAGTACAGATGTGAGTACTTCTACTTTATTAAAGTACAGATGTGAGTACTTCTACTTTATTAAAGTACAGATGTGAGTACTTCTACTTTCTTAAAGTACAGATGTGAGTACTCCTCCCCTCTGTTAGCACGTTGCTAACTCGCTCCTGGTTGTCAGTGCTCGTCTCTGAGTGTTGTCACGGGGCTGCTGGGTAATTAGTAAACCTAATAAAGTGTTGATTTAATAAAGAGTTCCTGAGAGGTCACGACCTCCTGTTCATCACGAGCATCCAATCAGCAGCAGCTCCTCATCCTGCAGAGCTGTGTCTGGGTTTTATTCTATATTAGAGACATCAGTTTTCTGATGCTATGAGGTTTGTTTAATAGTTATACAGAGACACGGGGATGTCAGCCTTTATTTGGACTCAGATCAACTTGTTGGCGACTGGAAGATCTCGACTTGATTTGTGAAGCGAATTGAATTTGTTATTCCCTTGATTTCTACTGGTTGATGACTCCATTGGGACTCGTTTGGGACTCGTTTGTGACTCCATTGGGACTCGTTAGTGACTCGATGGTCTGAGTGTGTGTTCTCACATGGTTCAGACCCTCGTTAGTGACTCGATGGTCTGAGTGTGTGTTCTCACATGGTTCAGACCCTCGTTAGTGACTCGATGGTCCGAGTGTGTGTTCTCACATGGTTCAGACCCTCGTTAGTGACTCGATGGTCTGAGTGTGTGTTCTCACATGGTTCAGACCCTCGTTAGTGACTCGATGGTCTGAGTGTGTGTTCTCACATGGTTCAGACCCTCGTTAGTGACTCGATGGTCCGAGTGTGTGTTCTCACATGGTTCAGACCCTCGCTAGTGACTCGATGGTCTGAGTGTGTGTTCTCACATGGTTCAGACCCTCGTTAGTGACTCGATGGTCTGAGTGTGTGTTCTCACAGGGTTCAGACCCTCGTTAGTGACTCGATGGTCTGAGTGTGTGTTCTCACATGGTTCAGACCCTCGTTAGTGACTCGATGGTCTGAGTGTGTGTTCTCACATGAATCCGGCGACGAAGGTGTCCGACAGACCGGCGGCTCCTCCTCCGAACGCAGAGCTCGTCTCTCCGAGCCACACGGGCTTCTCTGGAGACGCCTGCTTCACTTTCTGAAACACAAGCACAGGTTAAAACATCTGGAGATCACACATATGTAATCTCTGCTTCAGGTCTTTACCTCCAGGACTTCTAGTGTCTTTAAGGTCAGAGTGTCCAGGATATCTGGGTCCAGGAAATCCTCCAGAGACGTGTCCCTGCCGTTCACATAGTAACTGGAAACAGGACATAGTTAATCATATTATTATCACCTCTTTATTTATTATTTAGTCAGTCTCTTGAGTTTTACACACATAAAATCAAACTCACAGATTTCACTTTTGTAATATCAGACATTTCCTTATTTACCTTCAGATTAAAGCCACATATAACCAAGTCTTATCTGTGACCTTCACCTGAGAGAGTCTCTTCCTAATGTGTTATAGTGACCTCTGAAAAGTGGAGATTAGACCCACCCAGTGATTTATTAAAATAAACAATAAGGAAATACTTCACAACGCACCAGATTAGGAAGTACACAGAGTCCCTCAAGTAATGTGTAAACACTGTGTACTTTATGTGTGTGTGTGAGTGAGAGTGAGTGAGTGAGTGAGAGTGAGTGAGTGAGAGTGAGTGTGTGTGAGAGTGAGTGAGTGTGAGAGTGAGTGAGTGAGTGAGTGAGTGAGTGAGTGAGAGAGAGAGTGAGTGTGTGTGAGAGTGAGTGAGTGAGTGAGTGAGTGAGTGAGAGAGTGTGTGTGTGTGTGTGAGAGAGACTGTGTGTGTGTGTGTGTACTCACTGGTGCCAGGTGCAGGCGTCCACCACCCCCGCTCCACTCTGCAGGAACCTGAAGGGAGGTAACACACATCAAGTTATTTATTATTTACATGTAGTTAAATACACAGCTTTAAGTTTCATTAAACTAAAATACACCATGTATTACAATAAAGATGATGGACATTGGTGACAGGACCATTTTGATTATAATTAGTCTAAAACATGTTCTTATTTTATCCTTTGTCATTAATTGTTTTTTTATTATTATTAAATTTTTCAATTTGGAACAAAACCAATACCTACAGAAAAAATACATTCAAAAAAATTGTAATGGCAATTAAAATAAATATGTATTAATAAAAAGAAACAGAAGTAAAAAATTATCTAGGTACAAATGATGAATGTTTTTAATTCCAGGTTCATCCAGATTTTTAACATTTATTTGACTTAATGCTGTTTCGTTTGAATTCAATTTCATTACTCATATTTTAATGGTATAATCTCAACTAATACATTTTTTAAATGTTGTAAATACTCTAAACTTTTTCGAGGTGGACTTTCCAAATAAACAGTTTTTTTATGGTTGTATTTTAAAGGTGGTGTAGGTAAGTTTGAGAAACCGGCTTGAGATCGCTAGAATTTGAAAATACACAGTCGGAGAAAATCTGCCACTTCCTCACAGAGCCCCTCCTCCAACACACACGAACGCGCACATGACCAATGAGGGCACGAGATAAGTTTGTGCACAGATGGAAGGCTGACAGGCAGGTAGGCCATCCAGTTATTTTAGCCGGGCCGGCTCAGATGATTGGTCGTGCTTTTTACAGTACTACAGCTTCCACAGATGATATTTATTATGGATTTTTTGTCAAAGCACTTCAGATATTCATTGCTATCAGGATGTTAAGAGCATTCCATGGAATATAACAACAAGTGTATCTCCAGCCGGTTTCTCAAACTTACCTACCCCACCTTTAAGTGAATGTGTGAATGTGTGAATGTTTTATTAATATATTATTTGTATTAACCCCACCGTGCCTCTCACCCCTGCAGGATGTCGGTCCGGTGATTTCGAGGCTGACCAACGTCAGGACCGTAAAGCCCGGCGTGTCGATAAAGTTTTGACTCTGACATCATCTCTCTGAGAAGGGCGAAGTCCTTTCCCAGCTGAAACCCATCCACGCGCACCCCCGCCTTCTTCTCATAGCTGTTGGGCTCTGAAACCCATAAAACCAGTTCAAACAGGAAGGACAACTTGAGTTTGTTGAGTGAACATTTTATTCATAAATGTAAATATTTGAAAGCTAAACCTCATATCAACGGATGGAAGAAGGAACTCAACGTTTTTGCAAAATCGCTCCAATACATGACGGACAAAAACGCAGAGAAACTTTTCTCATTATTGGACTTATTTATGTTGCTTGAATAGATGAGAGTAACACCAGGGATGCAAACTCATCAGGTATGAAAAAGGTGACAAGGATCCGAGCCCCCCGACCCCACGGAATATCGGCTTTAAAATGAGGAACAACAGGATGTTAGCAGTCAGAACAACCAAAGCAGTTAATAATAACAGAAACGCCAAAGAGTCACATCTCATAGAAATGTATAAAAGCATTTATTTGAATTGTGTAGCAGTCAGTTTATAATTTTGGCAGCACTGTTGAGCATTTTGAAAATGTATTTTCATGCCCTGTGCAAGGCTTAGTCTTTCTATCTGTATAGCCAGTGGTGTAAAGTAACTAAGTTCATAAACTCAAGTACTATACTTGGGTACAATTTTGAGATACTTGTACTTTATTTAAATATTTCAATGTTTTGCTACTTTGTTCTTCTACTTCCTCTAAAGTTCAGAGGTACATGGTGTACTTGTACTCCACTACATGTATTAATACCTTTAGTTACTTTACAGATGTGGATGAATGATGTGAAATATAACCAAGTGTTAAATCAGACTTTAGTTCCACCTGGAGTAAATCCACAAGCTACCCTGCAGTATACAAAGTCATTCAAACTAGCTGCACCTTTACCAGCTTTGAGAACACTTTCATGATCAATCATTATAAAACATATCATATATATTATTCTGAAATGGACCAATCTGCACAACGACTACTTTTACTGTCTCTACTTTCACTATATTTTGATGAGAATACTTTTCTACTTTTATTTGAGGAACATTTTGATTGCAGGATTGTTCCAACATTCTGGTACTTCTACTTTTACTCAAGTACAAGATCTGAGTACTTCCACTTTTACTCTAGTACAAGATCTATACTTATACCACCTCCGTTTATAGCCTATGAAAAAAACTATTAGAAAACTAAGGCTAAAGCTAACGTTAGCAGATATGTTATGCTAGTTAGCTAGCTCAACGATAATATTGCGACAGAAAAACTTTTCAGTTCACATCACGCTCTGCCGCTCCGACAGGGAGCTCTGCTCTGAACACCTGAACGGCCGGTTCTAACAGCTGTTCACCAGCGGTCCAGTCTGTGCCACAGTGACTCCGGACCACACAGTTAATATTAACGAACGCACCCATAGGTAATGTAGCTGCTGAAGCTAGACCCTCATCCCGGAGCAGCAGAGCCTTATTATACATCGATGAGCAGAATGATGTAATGTAATTGTTTGCCTGTCTGGCCATCCTAATCGGGCTCTTTGAAGATCCAAAAATCCACGGTTTTCTTACATTTCAGATCAGATTGGCAAAAACTGCAGAATTTGTATTGACCGCCATTCAAATGACAGCTTTGTTTTCCCCCAAAAGTGGGCGGAGCCGTAATTTTTGCCCGGAAGTGACGCATGTGTTACTCATCTATAGGACCCGCTCGCTTTCGTAAAGCAAAAACATTTTATTTTTTTATTTTGCTGTATGTTGTTTGTATTTTTGCACTGTATCAACACCAAGGTACATTTATGACTGTTACAATGAGCCTTGATGGTTTGTAAAATAATTGTGTAAGGAAAAAAAAGTTAAAACAGGAAGTTAAAACCACAACAAGTCACTTCTTGTCTGAGAGTCATTTCACACGGCTTCAAAACTGGAAGTGAAACTCAGATAAAAGACCGCAAGAGTTCAATATAACTGGAACTAAAGTGCAGTAAAGAACTGAAGCAGAAGGAATGAATCATTTAATGAACACTGAGGGTAAAGCACCGACAACATGAAGGCCCACAAGGCTCAGAGTGAAATCAATAAAGTTAAATTCACAGGGAGGAAAGAGAAACTCTTAACATTAACCTCAGTGTAAAGTTTCTAAACAAACAACTACATTTAAACTCTTAAGACTACTGTTGTTAACAGCTAACATCTAATAACAGCTAACTGTTAACAGCTAACAGTAAACAGTTATCAGCTAACAGTAAACAGTTATCAACTAACATCTAATAACATCTAACAACTAACTGTTAACAGCTAACAGCTAACAGCTAACAACTATCAGCTAACAACTATCAGCTAACAGCTAACAACTATCAGCTAACAGCTAACAACTGACAGCTAACAACTATCAGCTAGCAACTGACAGTTAACAGCTAACAGCTAGCAACTGACAGCTGTTTACTGTCAGTTGTTTACTGTCAGTTGTTAACTGTTAGCTGTTAACTAACAACTATCAGCTAGCAACTGACAGTTAACAGCTAACAGCTAACAACTGACAGTTAACAGCTAACAGCTAACAACTATCAGCTAATAACTGACAGCTAACAACTATCAGCTAACAACTGAGAGTTAACAGCTAACATTTAACAACTGACAGTTAACAGCTAACAGTTAACAACTGACAGTAAACAGCTAACAACTATCAGCTAGCAACTGAAAGTTAACAGCTAACAGCTAACAACTGACAGTTAACAGCTAACAACTATCAGCTAGCAACTGAAAGTTAACAGCTAACAGCTAGCAACTGACAGTTAACAGCTAACAGTTAACTATCAGCCAACAGCTAGCAACTGACAGTTAACAGCTAATAGCTAACAACTGACAGTTAACAGCTAACAGCTAACAACTATCAGCTAACAACTAACAGCTAACAACTGACAGCTAACAACTATCAGCTAACAACTGACAGCTAACAACTATCAGCTAACAACTGAGAGTTAACAGCTAACATTTAACAACTGACAGTTAACAGCTAACAGTTAACAACTGACAGTTAACAGCTAACAGTAAACAGCTAACAACTATCAGCTAGCAACTGACAGTTAACAGCTAACAGCTAGCAACTGACAATTAACAGCTTTCAGCTAACATATAATGGCTGCTAACAGTTAACAACTAACAGCAAAGGGTTACCAACATCTAACAGTCATTAGCTCACAACCAAAAACAAAAAGCCAACAGTAACCAGCTTGCTGCTCACAACTAACAATACATTTAGACACTTTCTTCAAAAGCGACTTACAGTAAGTGCAATAAACCATAAAGATTCAAACTCAGGACGACAAGAACAGTGCAGATATTCACAATTTGCCAGACAAGTGCTGCTGCATCAGTTTAACGCTCAAGTGCTACTTTTTTTTTATGGCTGAGGTACAAGCCAAACAGGTGGGTTTTCAGACTCTCCACTCCACTAACATCTAACATAAGCTTTCCTCCTCCCAATTTCCGCACTGACTTGTTGTTCACACCGCAGCATTATGAGGATAAACATGGTGCGTCTCCTGAACACGTGGAGAGAGAGTTTACTGACTCAGGAACTGATTTTCTACGGCCCCCAAAGGAGCCATTAGTCTTGAGCCTTTGTTACCCGTCACTATGGAACGTGAGGTACAACAGTCTCACGGCATTTTGTGTTATAGTCACAATTTAAAATAAAAAGGATAGGGTTAGGCTTAGGGTAAGATATTGAGTAAGAACATGTTTTTATGAACCACACAACTTCTGGTATTCCAAGACCCGACCGGACAAAAAGACGTGTTGCAGGCACGAAACATACTACCAATATAAATACATTGCTTTTAAAATCGTTCTGTGTGACACGAAAAAAATGCGAAAATCGTGTTGGTGAACACGAATCAATAGATTACATTAATTTCGTGACTATTACACGAAATGCCGTGAGACTGGGATGTGAGGTACTAGGAAGTCTCAGTTTAAAGTGGACCTGTCATGCTATATTTGAATAATATAGTGTAGGACCATACCTATATAAGGCATATTTATACTTTTTTTTTTTCAAAATACCAAACAGATCATGCATTTTAGCCATGCCTCATTTTGCTCAATTTGACATTTTTTAGCTCTGTTTTAGCAAGGGCTGATTCTGTGAGAACAGCACCACCTACAGGCCTGGCATATGTACTACAGCGTCTCCAGCGCTTTGAACGGCAATGGCCGTGGCTGTCTCCTCCTGATTGGTGGAGTTGGCCCAATAGCCGTAGCGCCACCGTCCTGACGTCAGGACAGTGTTCAAATCTGGATCAGTTTTTATCAGATCCGTTGCAGCCCCTTTTTTAGAGATTTGGATATGGAGGAAAATAGAGAGGGTTGTGTTTTCTGACACTTGGCGAGTTCCCTGGAACACCGGGGACACATATTCATGTAGAAAAGACGTACACAAGTGCATTTTGCATGATAGGTCCCCTTTAAGTTCTGGTGACCCCCCCAGTCTACATATGAAAGTCAGAGTACCGTTGCCCACCTCCCAGTCCATCTGGTACCCTCTGCTAACAACTGACAGAACCCCTGACAGCTAACTGACATTTAACCAATGACAGCTAACAACTGACAGCCTACAACTGACAGCTAACCACTGACAGTTAACCCCTGCCAGCTCAGCGTACCGTTGCCCAGCTCCCAGTCCATCTGGTACCCTCTGGACTCGCAGTACTGCAGCAGAGATCGAGCGTTGCTGCCGTTCCAGATGTTCTCTGAGGTTCTGAGGAGAGCGTTCAGCCCGAAGATCAGATCCAGACCGGAGCAGTTAGAGAAGGAGTGCAGCATGTCCACCGTGTACTCTGAGAGGAGAAGAAATCACTCTGAAATAATGACTCTGAAATAAGATAAGAGATAAGATAGTGAGTGATGTACCTGTGAACTTGACCCTCTTGTACTTCCTGTGCAGATCTTCCCTCTTCAGGAGGATTTGTTGTCGGCTCCACTCCTTCTTCAGACGCTGCTCCAGCCAGGAGGGCAGCAGCCGGGCAGAGCAGGACTTCTCTAGACACACAGAGAAAAGGAAATTAAAGTTATTTATTTTGTATATTTCACTATTCTTAACCTCAGTGCAGAAACCTCCTGATGCCCTGAGGGTTGGGGCAGACTGCAGGACGGGACATGTGTTGGGAAATTATATGAAACTGGATTTAAAAACAATATATATGCATGTATTTACTTTTAGTGGCATTTGAGAGTTTTGTATGTCCAACTAACAACCGAGAAACCATGTGACGTCACCTTAGGCGAAGTGGCCCAGTATCTCAGTGCTTGTTTTTACAAAGAAAATATATTTATTTTATGTGTAAAAGATAAGGTAAAGGTCTATATTTGTATTCTATTGATAAAATAATTTGGAAAACCTCTAAATCTGTGGATCCTGAGCTTCCCTGAGTAAAAAGGGACATGTTATGGATCATTCATATTATCTTACTAGCAGGAAGAATCCCTGACAAACTGCGCAATTAACTAAATAATCGATTCAAACTCAGTGTTTACTCCTCCTTTGAGTTCAGTCCTGAGATATACAAATGGGTTTTAATAATATACATGCAGTTAACTGGCTCTTTTAAATAACTGACATCAACAGAAGAGAGGAACGTAGAACTGGGTATCATCTGCATAGAACAATTCAAATAAGATAGACGTGAAATTAAATCTTAAATCAAACGTTTCGTGTATTCTTTCTGAAGAAGGGAGACCTGTGGTTTCTGAAAGAGTAGCAGTAATTAATATACCATTATATATAATGCGATCGTTCTAAGAGTAAATAAGACCTATCTTTATCATTTTTAGTAGTATCGCTGTTCATGTTTTATTGTTTTTACATATTTTCATTATGTTCCTCATTTGTTATTGTGATTTATTTTCTCATACTGTGTATAAAGCACTTTGGGCTGCGTCAAGCATGAAAGGTGCGATATAAATAAAGTGTATTAATGTTGTTATCCTGAGTGTACCTGCAGAGGAAGAAGAGCCCCGGCGGGTCGGGCTGAACTCCATGAAGTCTTGTCTCGTTCCCCCGAACCGGAGGAACGCTGGACTCAGAGCTTTAGCCAGAGTCCGGACCTTTGGAGAGCTGGAGACCACGACGACAGTTCATATTAATGAACCAATGGGAGCAAAGCAACCAAGAGGAGAGGCAGGATTCATTATTACTGAATGACTGATGCAAAGCAATCACAGAGACGCTCACCACGACTAAAAGTACACACACGATGCTAAATGAGGCCAACGAGACGCGAAACAATCACAAAACCACCTAGAAAGAAGCAGAATAACCAAAAGATGGAAGCTAAACAGTCTCAGTGACTGTGTCTCAGCTGGTCATCGAACACAACAACCAAACGCTCAGGAATACCTAGTATGAATAGAGGATCCACTAGTTTAATGCAAACATCATTAAACATAGTTTTAAAACAATAACAAAAATGCGCAATACAACTACAAATAAATGAAAAAAAGCTAAAATGACCAAAAGAGTTTCAACCACAACTAAATAAATCAAAAACAACTTCAATTGGATGCAAAACAATGAAAAGACCTGAAAGCATTTAAAGCTCTTCATAGAAACACAAACACAGCTTCATGTAGTTTAAGGTCAGATTTATGAGAATTATTTGCAAAACAATCACAGAGATGCAAAAAAGACTAATAAAATGTCACTAAAGCAAAAGGCTAAAGATCATTTAAATACAATCACAGATATGCAAAACTATAATAAACTATAAAGGGAAACGTGTGGCGCAGTGTGTTGGTGTTGGGATCAGGGGGTCACAGGTTCAAACCCCACTGCAGTCAGCATGTCGTTGTGTCCCTGAGACACTTCACCCCAAAGTGCTCCTGTGCCCACAGTATTGAGTATGTAAGTCGCTTTGGATAAAAGCGACTAACAAGTAATGTAATGAGAATATAGACATGCAAAACTAGATGAGAAACCACTGAAACCAGTTCAACCTGAAGATTAAGCACCTTTAAATAAAAAAAACGAATCCAGTCCGAGCAGTATTTAGTTCTGATTTCAGATGAATCACAGCTCATTGACCCTGCAGACCCTGCCCATCTTTAGGTGTATTAATGTGCAGCAGCAGGTCACATTCAAAGGTTTTATTTTCAATTAAATAATGTACATTAAGACATAATTAAATGTGTGTGTGTGTGTTAAGTTGGAGCAGAACAAACCCCAGCAGCGACATGAACTTCTCCTCTGAAGCCAGGCTGGAGTCGATGGTGACGGACAGGAAGCGCCGCTCCACCCGCCGAAACACCGAGGAGACATGCAGCAGAACCGGCAGAACCGGGTGGGAGAACCGGGTCTGGGTCGGTGGTAAGAGGGGGGGGAACCGGGTCTTTGTTTGGTTCTGAAGGAGAGATCCGGAGGACTGGTTCCACATCAGAACCAGAACCAGCAGCTGAACGGACTCCATGCTGCAACTAGTACTAAACTGACAGGCTCACTTCCTCTGTTTACTCACAGTGTTCTATTGTGAAGGCAGGCCCCGCCCCCTCGGCGTCTCATTGGCTGATACATCGTGGCCCCGCTCTACTCGATTTGTGATTGGCTAAAACTCGTGGTCCCGCCCACATCACCCTCTAATTAGGCAATACTTGTCATCTATTGGACGTTTACGGTGTTATAGAAGCCGATTTCCAGTAAAGATTGAGGATGTTGAGACAAAGTGAAATTGAAAGTATTGATTATAAACTCGAAAGTCATTATTATGTGATAAAGAACTTTAAATTATGAGATCAAAAGTCAAACTTTATTAGTCCAACAAGGAAATGCAGTTCTGTTTCTTGAAGTTAGGTTTTATGAATTCTCTCTTGTAATTCTGATTAAAAAAGGCATTATTGTGATATTACAAATCACAATAAAGAATTAAATAAGAATTATGAGAAATATCAGAATCAAGAAATTACAAACTGTAAATCAGAAGTCATTTTTGAGATTGAACAATAAATTCCTCCAATCAATTATTATAAAACCTGGTTATTAAAGGTTGAATAAATTTAAAAAACACCTCAATATTTTCCTACTGAAGATCCTCAGTTTAATTGAGCTCCAGCTCTTAGAAACAAAGACACTAAATCCAACAGAAAGGTCCAGCCGTTTTTATTTTAAATATACTTTGCAGTGTTTCCAGTTCTCCTCTCACACAGCATCTGAGCAGTGTGTGCTCCAGACGTATGACACAATAACAAACAGAGGATGAATCAGAGTGATATGAGAGGAGCAGAGGGCAGATCTTTGGGCAGCGTCAGCAGGTCGTCCACCTCCTCCTGCAGAGCGGCCGCCTTCTCACTCAGGAGCATCTGGAACACATCAGTATTATTATTGAACAATAAAAAAGCTCAGTTCTTTCAGGAAGTCGGGAAGTCTCTTCTCGCATTCACAGGTTCTCTCTTCCTCACTCAGGCGTATCACTCCCCAAGCTAAACCAATCAGACTCGCCCCATCTCCCACAAGCCAATCACAGAGCGCCCGGCACACTTTGCCATCTGCTCTCTTCTCCTCTGTCAGCTTCAAATTCAGGTGGAGCGACGCAGCCCTCCTCCTCCACCCCTTTCACCTGCAGGTCATCCAGGGCCCAGCTAAAGCCCCGAAGCCCCCCCCATCACTCCGGACCCCCATCACTCCCTCCAGCTCCTCACCACTCCAGCTCCCCATCACTCCCTCATCACTCCCTCATCACTCCCTCATCACTCCCTCATCACTCCCTCCAGCTCCCCATCACTCCAGACCCTCATCACTCACTCCAGCTCCCCATCACTCCCTCCATACCCCCATCACTCCAGACCCCCATCACTCCAGACCCCCATCACTCCAGACCCCCATCACTCCCTCACCAAGATAATCTTTCTCTCTCCATTCACTTCAATACATACTTTTTCCGAAATAAGGTCCAATGGCGGCCCACCTGAAAGGGAGGGACTTCTCTATGGAACTCCTTTACCTCCAAATAAGCTTAAGTTCCCGACAATCTATGGAGACAGTCTCGGAGCAAATGGACTCGTCTGATCTTCTGGTTTCTGAAGGTCTGTATCTGAAGATTTGAGCTCTCAGAAAAAAGGCCAAAGGTTTTTAAGGCATTTCTGAAACAGCTGGAGCAGTGTTTCTCAAAGTGTGGTCCGTGAGCGCCCCCTAGTGGTCCGTCAGTATATTGGTAACATTTCACATTTGAAATAAATAAATCATAAATTCAAAGAGTTTCTCAAAGTGTTTAAAAATGACTAGGGTAGGCGACAGAGAGTCAAAGAGTGCGTAAACAACGCTAAATAAATGGAACAGAGTCAATAATGAACTTTTAGGAGCATTTAGCATTTCTCTCAGTAAAACGATCTGAGAGTCTGTCGGACAGGAACTCCGTAATAAATACATTTCATATGAGGCGTAAAACCTGAGAGCATTTTCTCATCTGAAGGAAATGTAGAATCTGTGGTTGTATCCGTGATGTTGATTTGATGTGTGAACGACGTAGAGAAAGTGAAGCTGTCACTATCAGGCTGTCATATAAACTGTTGGAGTGGACCTTCTGTTTCTGGATATTTGGAGAGTGTGTTTTTGTTTTTAGAAACACTGAGATCGAGGAACGCACCTGACAGCAATATCTGATTTTTTAGTGCGACGTCATCTTTGGACCCTTTTTGTCCTTGTTGTCCTTATTGGTCAAATACTGTGGAGCCTCTTTTAGGGAAGTTCCCGACTATCTATGGAGAGATGCTCGGGGTCAATGGATTTGTCTGGTCTTCTAGTTTCATAGGATATCAGGATCTTAACTCCATCGTAACATTTAGTCGTTGTTATATATTTTTTTGTGTTTTTCGTTAATTTGACATTTTCAAATTCTAAGAAAGAAAAATTGAAATTCGGGGAAAATTAAAATCAAATTATTTTTATTTTTCTCTCTGTACATACAATTAGTACAACCCACTGTGTCATTTGTACATGCATATATTTAGCTTTCCATTTGACTAACCCTGGTTATGAATTGTCGAAACGCAATACAAAGATTTTGGATCTTAAGAATTGAGACATTGCATTCGCTGAGCTCTCAGAAAAAAGCCAAACTTTGAAACGTTTTTTAAGGCATTTCTGAAGCAGCTAGAGCGGTGTTTCTCAAACTGTTTCATACCAAGCACCACTTCACCAATACAAAAACACTCGCAGACCACCTAACTCCACAAATATCCAAAAACACATCGTTTTTCTAGAACAGATTACAAATCGCCTGAAAATGGTCCAAACAAGTGGCGACATGTGGGACGAAGGTGTGGCGCTGGGCTGTATCATGCAAAGTGAAACTTAAGCTCGCTCCATTGCGGGAGATATTCCTGCGAGAGTGCGGAAAACTTAAATGTATTTATTTATTTCAAATGTGAAATGTACCAATATACTCACGGACCACTAGGGGGCGCTCACGGACCACTAGGGGGCGCTCACGGACCACTAGGGGGCGCTCACGGACCACTAGGGGGCGCTCACTTTGAGAAGCACTGAGCGAGACAGATGATTTTGACTCAAAGAGCCTCACTTTGAAACGACTTCCCGACAAGATATGGAGACATCAGTGAGATCAATACCTTTGATCGGTCGTCTACCTTCTAGTTTCACGTTAGCACGTTAGCACGTAGCACTTGTTGAGTTAATTTAGGCCTTGTAACTATGGTGTGAACTCCCTTGAGGTGACTCTTAATGGTGTTTGCGCTTTGGATAAAGGCATCAGCTGAATGATATGTAAAGTCAAGTTCACTCTACATTTAGGAATGACTCCTACAGCGTTTTAGAAAACAGGAATATCAATACTTTCTGTGTGAAAGCCCAACTTAGTATCATGTGTTCTTCCAGAGCAGCTGGAGGGACGACTGACAGCAATGGATTGGTATGAATGAGTACTTTTCCCACTGCTGCCGACAGGTAAACTCTCACCTTAGCGGACGCCACGATCTGATTGGCCTGTTTTCGGTGCAGGTTTTCTAAGGTGTTGCTGAGGACGGCCGGGTCAGCGTTGGCGAGGTGAGTCAGCGTCTTATAGCCGGCGTTATAAAGCTGCTTCGCTCGGGCCTGGAGATCAAACACAGAAAACAGACTTATAGAAAGTTCTCCTGCAGCCTCTGAATATGTAGATCAGGGGGGTCAAACTCAATTTCATCACGGGCCACATCAGCATTATGGTTGACCTCAAAGGGCCGGTTGTAACTTTAAGACTATATAAACATACATATATAAATATTTAATATATATAAAATAATGTATTATATTACTTTATTGCCTCTGCATTGGATTATTATTGGATAGGGTAAAAACTTCATAAATAACTACGTCTGAAAGAAGAAGTCTAGGGCAAATAAGTGCAAGTCTCTTCAGTGAGAATGTCACAAAATTATTTAAAAAGAAAAGCCAAATTCTGAAAAAAAAGTCAAAATCAAAAAAGAAGTGACATTTTGAAAAAAAAGTAACAATTTAAAAAAAAAATCAAATTCTAAGAAAAAGGCATAGTTTGAGAAAAAAAGTTAAATTCTGAGAAAAAGGCATAGTTTGAGAAAAAAAGTTAAATTCTGAGAAAAAGTCAAATTCTGAGAAAAAGGCATAGTTTGAGAAAAAAAGTTAAATTCTGAGAAAAAAAGTCAAATTTAAGATGCATTGTGGGACATGTAGTTTATGGACATCGTGCTTCTGTAAATCGGCATGTAACCGTATAATAAACATATTACATTCTTTCAGAGCTCTTGCGGGCCACATGAAATGAAGTCGCGGGCCGGATTTGGCCCCCGGGCCTTGAGTTTGACCCCCCTGATGTAGATGATCTGCTTTCCATTGTGTTAGATCTTATTAAAGTGAATATATTTGGATGCTGAATGAGTATACTTGAACTTGTTTAATAACGTAGAAAAAGATCAACACATTGTTAGTCTTTTTTGCAGAACTCTTAGAAAGGCTCTTTGCAGTTTCCAAATCCGATAGAAAACACATTGAGTGTTTTTTGCAGATTCATTCAGATGTTTTCCTTTAACATATTTTATATTACCTAGAATTAGTTTGTAACCTTCTTTGGTGACTTTAAAAAGATTTTCAACTTGAAAGATAATGCTAAAACTCGTCCTGTTGGATCTAAAGTGTAGACTCAACTCAGCAGTCGAGCTGCAGCGACAGAAAATGTATCTTGAACTGTTTTGGTAATTTATGAATATTTAGTTAGTTTAGTATAAAGTCATGTTTCATGTTTAGAGGACTGTTCAAAGTGACTGAGGGTTAGCTGCATCGCTCCTTCCCACGCTTCTTTGTGTTAAGTTGAGGAATAACAACAGTATGTAGTGAGTGTCGCTCTGACCTCCATGACCCCGGCCACCTCCATCAGGGGGATGAGTTCAGAGGTCACGCAGTAACTCAGCCTGCGGGTCAGCTCCGTCAGCAGAGCTCTGAGCGGCCAGAACTCCTCCAGCTCCTGAACGCAACATGCAAACAGAACTATAGTGACCTCAGTGACGTGCGGGTTATACACTAGATATACAGTAGATATATAGCAGATATATAGCAGATATATAGTAGATATATAGTAGATATATATTAGATATATAGTAGATATATAGTAGTTATATAGTAGATACATAGTAGTTATATAGTAGATACATAGTAGTTATATAGTAGTTATATAGTAGATACATAGCAGTTATATAGTAGATACATAGTAGTTATATAGTAGATACATAGTAGTTATATAGTAGATATATAGTAGATACATAGTAGTTATATAGTAGATATATAGCAGATATATAGTAGATATATAGTAGATATATAGCAGATATATAGCAGATATATAGTAGATATATAGCAGATATATAGTAGATATATAGTAGATATATAGTAGATATATAGCAGATATATAGTAGATATATAGTAGATATATAGCAGATATATAGTAGTTATATAGTAGTTATATAGTAGATACATAGTAGATATATAGTAGTTATATAGTAGTTATATAGTAGATACATAGTAGTTATATAGTAGATACATAGTAGTTATATAGTAGATATATAGCAGATATATAGTAGTTATATAGTAGATATATAGTAGATACATAGTAGTTATATAGTAGATACATAGTAGTTATATAGTGGATACATAGCAGATATATAGTAGATATATAGTAGATATATAGCAGATATATAGTAGATATATAGTAGATATATAGTAGATATATAGTAGATATATAGCAGATATATAGTAGATATATAGTAGATATATAGCAGATATATAGTAGATACATAGTAGTTATATAGTAGATACATAGTAGTTATATAGTAGATATATAGTAGTTATATAGTATATAGTAGTTATATAGTAGATATATAGTAGTTATATAGTAGATATATAGTAGATATATAGTAGATATATAGTAGATACATAGTAGTTATATAGTAGATACATAGTAGATATATAGTAGATATATAGCAGATATATAGTAGATATATAGCAGATATATAGTAGATATATAGTAGATATATAGTAGATATATAGTAGATATATAGTAGATATATAGTAGATATATAGTAGATATATAGTAGTTATATAGTAGATATATAGTAGATACATAGTAGATATATAGTAGATATATAGTAGATATATAGTAGATATATAGTAGATACATAGTAGTTATATAGTAGATATATAGTAGATATATAGTAGATATATAGTAGATATATAGCAGATACATAGTAGATATATAGTAGATATATAGTAGATATATAGTAGATATATAGTAGATATATAGTAGATATATAGTGATATATAGAGTAGTGACTAGTAGATATATAGTAGATACATAGTAGATATATAGCAGATATATAGCAGATATATAGCAGATATATAGTAGATATATAGTAGATATATAGCAGATATATAGTAGATATATAGTAGATATATAGTAGATATATAGCAGATATATAGTAGATATATAGTAGTTATATAGTAGATATATAGCAGATATATAGTAGTTATATAGTAGATACATAGTAGTTATATAGTAGATATATAGTAGATATATAGTAGTTATATAGTAGTTATATAGTAGATACATAGTAGTTATATAGTAGATACATAGTAGTTATATAGTAGATATATAGCAGATATATAGTAGATACATAGTAGTTATATAGTAGATACATAGTAGTTATATAGCAGATATATAGTAGTTATATAGTAGATATATAGCAGTTATATAGTAGATACATAGTAGTTATATAGTAGATACATAGTAGTTATATAGTAGATATATAGTAGATACATAGTAGTTATATAGTAGATATATAGTAGTTATATAGTAGATATATAGTAGATACATAGTAGTTATATAGTAGATATATAGTAGATACATAGTAGTTATATAGTAGATATATAGTAGTTATATAGTAGATATATAGTAGATACATAGTAGTTATATAGTAGATATATAGTAGATATATAGTAGATATATAGCAGATATATAGTAGATATATAGTAGATATATAGTAGATATATAGCAGATATATAGTAGATATATAGCAGATATATAGTAGATATATAGCAGATATATAGTAGATATATAGTAGATATATAGTAGATATATAGCAGATATATAGTAGATATATAGTAGATATATAGTAGATATATAGTAGATATATAGTAGATATATAGTAGTTATATAGTAGTTATATAGTAGATACATAGTAGTATATAGAGATAATAGAGATTAATAGTAGTTATATAGTAGAGACATAGTAGTTATATATAATAGTAGTTATATTATTAGTATAGTAGATACATAGTAGTTATATAGTAGATACATAGTAGATTACTATAGTAGTATATAGTAGATATATGTAGATATATAGTAGTTACATAGTAGTTATATAGTAGATACATAGTAGTTATATAGTAGATATATAGTAGATATATAGTAGTTATATAGTAGTTATTAGTAGATACATAGTAGTTATATAGTAGATATATATAGATAATATATTATTTATAGTAGTTATATAGTAGATACATAGTAGATACATAGTAGTTAATAGTAGATATATAGTAGATATCTAGTAGTTATATAGTAGATATATAGTAGTTTTATATGTAGTTATATAGTAGATACATAGTAGTTAATAGTAGATATATAGTAGATATATAGTAGTTATATAGTAGATATATAGTAGATACATAGTAGTTATATAGTAGATACATAGTAGTTATATAGTAGATACATAGTAGTTATATAGTAGATACATAGTAGTTATATAGTAGATATATAGTAGATATATAGCAGATATATAGCAGATATATAGCAGATATATAGCAGATATATAGTAGATATATAGCAGATATATAGCAGATACATAGTAGATATATAGTAGATATATAGCAGATATATAGCAGATATATAGCAGATATATAGTAGTTATATAGTAGATATATAGCAGATATATAGTAGATATATAGTAGATATATAGCAGATATATAGCAGATATATAGCAGATACATAGTAGATATATAGTAGATACATAGTAGTTATATAGTAGATATATAGTAGATATATAGTAGATATATAGCAGATATATAGTAGATATATAGCAGATATATAGCAGATATATAGCAGATATATAGTAGATATATAGCAGATATATAGTAGATATATAGCAGATATATAGCAGATATATAGCAGATATATAGCAGATATATAGTAGATATATAGTAGATATATAGTAGATATATAGTAGATACATAGTAGTTATATAGTAGATACATAGTAGTTATATAGTAGATACATAGTAGTTATATAGTAGATACATAGTAGATATATAGTAGATATATAGTAGATATATAGCAGATATATAGCAGATATATAGCAGATATATAGTAGATATATAGTAGATATATAGTAGATATATAGCAGATATATAGCAGATATATAGTAGATATATAGCAGATATATAGTAGATATATAGTAGATATATAGCAGATATATAGCAGATATATAGCAGATATATAGCAGATATATAGCAGATATATAGCAGATATATAGTAGATATATAGTAGATATATAGTAGATACATAGTAGTTATATAGTAGATACATAGTAGTTATATAGTAGATACATAGTAGTTATATAGTAGATACATAGTAGATATATAGTAGATATATAGTAGATATATAGCAGATATATAGCAGATATATAGCAGATATATAGCAGATATATAGCAGATATATAGCAGATATATAGCAGATATATAGTAGATATATAGCAGTTATATAGTAGATATATAGCAGTTATATAGTGACCTCAGTGAAGTGCAGCACGCAGGAGCAGAAGGCAGAGGAGGAGCTCAGTAAACTCTGGATGAATCCTCGACTCATCTGGAAACGATCCGACACGATCCAGAGGTTCAGATCCTTCAGGAGGGAGAAGAGAACCAGAGCCAGGTACATCCGGGACACCACCTCCGTGTTAGCACTCTGAAACAACAACAACAACAACAACACACACCTCCGTGTTAGCACTCTGAAACACAACACAATACACACTCTGAAACAACACCACACAAACTGACCTGAGGCCTGTGCTACGAAGCCGGTTCAACAGACCCTGGATGTGTTTGAGTTACCCGTCTTACCTAATCCAAAACAAACGTGCTCTCGCTAAGCGGTCCTGAGACGCTGGTTATCAACTCGGTAACTCAAGCCAGGGTTTCTCTGTCCGGCTGAGTGCGCGTTCACATGAAAGGGGCGGGACTAGCAACATTTGACCAATCACAAACATGGAGAAGCGTACTGACAGCGCAGCGTCATACTTCCTGAATGAAAAGTGAACTTTAATATTAGTCAAATATGAAGAAGTTAAACTTTAAACATCCATGACTTAAACACTTTATCCAGGATCAAAGCCACATAGCTGCACCTGCAAGGTGAATACAGCTGGTAACAGAGAAAGTGTTTGAATGCGTACATTAACAGGTTTATGATATCACTGCCCCGTCTAAGACACGATCTGACTTTAATTACATTTGACTCGAGTGTTTCGTCAACTTAATGTGTTGCTTAAAATAATACTTCTGCATCCAGTATGTGACACTGTGAGTGTTGCACGGCCAGATACGGCTCAGCTGACTCAGATAAGGAGATATATGATACATTATGATGTGATATGATATGAATGATAATGGGACACATAGACGTCTGCACTCACAGTGCCGCGGACTGTACGTAATGTTACTCTGATCCGGTTACTTATGTTGTGGCAGATATTTAAGTAAGCTTTCTTAACGCTAATGTTATAATAGTCAGATTGCTCTGAAGATGGGAGGGGATATTCTATTAATGTTCACGTTCACACAGTCCGTTCCTGCAACGGCAGTTTAAACTGTATTTCCTCTATCCTGTAATATGACTTGATCGCTTTAAACTCTGCACACTGAGCTCTGATTGGTCAGCAGGCGGTGCTTTCACTGACTTGATCTCTTAGCCTGCAACCTAACCTGCTCCGGACCTGGGGGGTATACCACGAAGCAGGATTTTCGTTTAGCAAGCTAACTTCAGGGATTTCCGGTCCTACGAAGCTGGTTCACTTTTTAGCGGGCTAGATAACTTATTCTGAACGGCTATCCTCCGGAGCAGGATAGGTTCCAGGATAAAAGCACCGCCTGCTGACCAATCAGAGCTCAGTGTGCAGAGTTTAAAGCGATCAAGTCATATTACAGGATAGAGGAAATACAGAAAAACTGCCGTTGCAGGAAAGACGGCCGGCAAAAATCAACGGACTGTGTGAACGTGAACATTAATAGAATATCCCCTCCCATCTTCAGAGCAATCTGACTATTATAACATTAGCGTTAAGAAAGCTTACTTAAATATCTGCCACAACATAAGTAACCGGATCAGAGTAACATTAAGTACAGTCCGCGGCACTGTGAGTGCAGACGTCGATGTGTCCCATTATCATTCATATCATATCACATCATAATGTATCATATATCTCCTTATCTGAGTCAGCTGAGCCGTATCTGGCCGTGCAACACACAGTGTCACATACTGGATGCAGAAGTATTATTTTAAGCAACACATTAAGTTGACGAAACACTCGAGTCAAATGTAATTAAAGTCAGATCGTGTCTTAGACGGGGCAGTGATATCATAAACCTGTTAATGTACGCATTCAAACACTTTTTCTGTTACCAGCTGTATTCACCTTGCAGGTGCAGCTATGTGGCTTTGATCCTGGATAAAGTGTTTAAGTCATGGATGTTTAAAGTTTAACTTCTTCATATTTGACTAATATTAAAGTTCACTTTTCATTCAGGAAGTATGACGCTGCGCTGTCAGTACGCTTGTCCATGTTTGTGATTGGTCGAATGCTCCAGATACCACCCCTTTTATGTGAACGCGCACCTAACTAGATAGGACACGGCTGGCTTGAGCGATCCACTTGATAACCAGCGTCGTAGGACAGTTTATCGAGAGCGTTTTTTTTTTGGATTTAGTCAACCGGATAACTCAAAACATATCCAGGATATGTTGAACTAGATTCGTAGTATACCCCCCTGGTTAGCCGCTCAGCATCAGTTACCATGGAGATCTAGCCCGCTAAAAAGAGAACCAGCGTCGTAGGACTGGAAACCCAGAGTTCTCCCTGAAGTTAGCCGCTAAGAGAAGATCCGGCTTCGTAGTACAGGCCTCTGGGACCAGCTCCTAGTTCTGCTGCTGTTCCCTCTCCTGTAGTTCTCTAGATGTTAGTGCATGTAAATGTTCTGCTAAGGCTAAAATCCCTGCGTTTCCTCCAGAGGGAGTTTCTTCTTTGACTTTACTTTTACTACAAGAACAACAGATCTGTCAGACTGCCCGTCTCCAGGTGGAGGACCCAGCCTGTTTAATCCGTGTTGCTGAGCAGCTCCTCACCTTCCTGACCGTCTGTCCCGCAGCCCTCCTGGCCACGAAGCTCTCCGGCACGCCGATCGCCGCCGACATCTTCTGCTCGGCTGCAGACAGCTGAGTGAACTGCAACACACACACCTGACATATCACACACACTGATGCTGCATCAGGAACACACACACCTGACATATCACACACTGATGCTGCATCAGGAACACACACACACACCTGACATATCACACACTGATGCTGCAGCAGGAACACACACACCTGACATATCACACACACTGATGCTGCATCAGGAACACACACACCTGACATATCACACACTGATGCTGCATCAGGAACACACACCTGACATATCACACACACTGATGCTGCAGCAGGAACACACACACCTGACATATCACACACCCTGATGCTGCATCAGGAACACACACACCTGATATATCACACACCCTGATGCTGCATCAGGAACACACACACCTGATATATCACACACACTGATGCTGCATCAGGAACACACACACCTGATATATCACACACACTGATGCTGCATCAGGAACACACACACCTGATATATCACACACACTGATGCTGCAGCAGGAACACACACACCTGATATATCACACACCCTGATGCTGCATCAGGAACACACACACCTGATATATCACACACACTGATGCTGCATCAGGAACACACACACCTGATATATCACACACCCTGATGCTGCATCAGGAACACACACACCTGATATATCACACACACTGATGCTGCATCAGGAACACACACACCTGATATATCACACACCCTGATGCTGCATCAGGAACACACACACCTGATATATCACACACTGACCTCAAAGGGCCGGTTGTAACTTTAAGACTATATAAATAAACATATATAATATATACAAAATAATGCATTGGATTATTATGGGATAGGGTAATAACTTCATAATTAACTACGTCTGAAAGCAGAAGTCTAGGGCAAATAATTGCAAATCTCTTCAGTGTCACAAAACGAGATGCATTGTGGGACATGTAGTTCATGGACAACGTGCTTCTGTAAAACGGAATTTAACCGTATAATAAACGTATTATAATCTTTCAGAGCTCTTGAGGGGTCACATCAAATGAAGCCTTGAGTCTGACACCCCTGCTGCAGTGTGTGTGCGTGCCTGTGTGTGTGTGTGTGTGTGTGTGTGTGTGTGTGTGTGTGTGTGTGTGTGTGCCTGTGTGTGTGTGTGTGCCTGTGTGTGTGTGTCTGTGTGTGTGTGTGTGTGTGTACCTGTGTGTGTGTGTGTGTGTGTACCTGTGTGTGTGTACCTGTGTGTGTGTGTACCTGTGTGTGTGTGTACCTGTGTGTGTGTGTGTACCTGTGTGTGTGTACCTGTGTGTGTGTACCTGTGTGTGTGTGTACCTGTGTGTGTGTGTGTGTGTGTGTGTGTGCCTGTGTGTGTGTGTGTGTACCTGTGTGTGTGTGTGTGTGTGTACCTGTGTGTGTACCTCTGTGTGTGTACCTGTGTGTGTACCTGTGTGTGTGTACCTGTGTGTGTGTGTACCTGTGTGTGTGTGTGTACCTGTGTGTGTGTACCTGTGTGTGTGTACCTGTGTGTGTGTACCTGTGTGTGTACCTGTGTGTGTGTGTACCTGTGTGTGTACCTGTGTGTGTGTACCTGTGTGTGTGTGTACTTTTTTTTATTTAACCTTTATTTAACCAGATAAAAAACATTGAGATAAAATCTCATTTACAATGCTGACCTGGCCAAGAAGGCAGCAACGTTACACATAACACAAACATATAAAATAAAGGTGTGTGTACCTGTGTGTGTACCTGTGTGTGTACCTGTGTGTGTGTGTGTGTGTGTACCTGTGTGTGTGTGTGTGTGTGTGTGTGTGTGTGTGTGTGTGTGTGTGTGTGTGTGTGTACCTGTGTGTGTGTACCTGTGTGTAGTAGAGCATCCAGTCAGGCTTGACCTGGTGGATCATGGTGTATGGAGTCACCAGGTACAGCAGGTGCAGGAAGCTGTTGAGCATCAGACCCTCCAGACCTTTAGAGAGATCTTTGTAGAGAACGCTGCTGTAGAGAAGGTCCACTGAGCCTGAGGAGACACACACACACACACACACAGATTATACACCGACTGACTGACACACATATATCAAACACTGACACACACACAGTGTAGTTGTACCTTTATAGGTGGCCCTCCCCAGCCGGGTGACGCTCAGAGTTTCTCCTTCTCCTCTCTGATGATCAGCTGGTTCTCCTGCAGGAAGTTGAGGCTGAGCTGCAGCGCCTCCTTCAGGCTGAGCTGAACACACAGGTGCTCCTCCTGCACGGACAGCAGCGTGCAGCGCAGGACGTCCTGCAGCTGCTGCACACACCAGGTGATCTGCAACACACACACACACACACACACACACACACACACACACACACACACACACACACACACCACACACACACACACACACACACACAACACACCACACACACACACACACACACACACACACACACACACACACACACACACACACACACACACACAACACACACCACACATCACAAACACACATCACACACAACACACACACACACACACACACCACACACACACACACACACACACACACACACACACACACACACACACACACACACACACACACACACACTCAGGTGGAGCAGACTAGCTGTTGGAGGGCTTGATAACCCACTCCCCCTCCACACTCGTTGGTTTGGAACAGCCCTTAATGTGGTGGAGTAGTGTGTAGGGGGCGGTTTGGAATTGGGCCATAAAGTAATATCACTGTGAGGGTGTAGTAAAGAGAGAGGTTCACATTGAGTCCGATGAGCGACAGGATGAGGCTCCGCAGACCTTTCCCCTCGTCCAGCAGCAGGTTTACTGAAGCACTTCTCCATCGGGGCGCTCACCAGAGTCTTAGCCTGACAACAGACACAAACAAGGTAAAGACAGGAAGTATCCAACCCTTTTAAATATGTATTTGATGCTCCTTTAGAGTGGAAACTATTTAACAGTCCAACTTTACTCAATCCAGAGTTAGACTGTGGGATCTGGTTTGCTTATGACCTCAAATTAATGTGATTTCATCTCTATAACTGTGTACAAAGGAAGCCTCCATCATGTTGGTGGTTTGTAAAGGTCCTCTAAGCCCCCCCCCACTTTTTAACATGGACACACATCTCTGTCAGTCTCTGTGAAACCTGTGTGCTTTTTAATGTGATATCAACTTTATCTGTCAATTTGATACACAGCTCTATAAACTACATTACCCATGAGCCTTAGCTGCTTTTGTAATTGGGAAGAAGACTGTCAGAGGTATATCATGTATTCTTCAGATGTTACTGTCAGCGTGATCTTCCTCCTGACTTCAGTGGAGCAGATGGAGTGCTGTGATTGGGTGATTCCTGCTGAAATGCACCCTGGGAGTTGTAGTTTAAATATACAGTAAAGCTAAAGTAACCAGGATGCTCTCTCCTTGGCTGTCAACGCCCACTCACAGCTAGGGATGGGTATCGTTAAGGTTTTAACGGTACTACTACTTTTATCGATACCGCTTATCGGTCCGGTCTTTTAACGGTACTCTTATCGGTTCTTTTGGAGAGAAAAATGAGGTAAACTAACTATATGTTGTATGTCAGGGACTACGGATGGAAATTAGCTCAAAGCTAAAATCCGGCATATTTACACTTGAAGCTAGGGTGACCAGATGTCCCGCTTTGCGCGGGACTGCACAGCATTTTCACGACTTTTGGTGCGTCCCGCAAATTGAGACGATGTCCCGCATATTTCATTTTGATTGGCCAAAACGCTTTTCTGCGGAGAAAGGCCGGCTCGGTTCGCTGACGGCCGGCACCGCCCATTATGATATGTTTTAAACGGCATTATGTAAGTTGCGCTGACAGGCGACAGAGGTCCACAGTGTACCCCCCCTGTTGACAGTTCATGCGTCAACATTACATTTACATGTCCCACATTGTCCCACACAAATATACTCTCTGTCCCACTTGTGGCTTTCTGGCACCTGGTCACCCTACTTGAAGCATTATTTGTCTAAAGTGTTCATTAATGTGCATTGTCCCTATTCAAATAAACGATTAAATGAAAATTAACAAATTGTGAACAAAACTAACATTGCTTTTTATTTAAATGAAATACATAATATTTCACATCAACAGAAACAACAACGTTTTAACAAATCATATTAAATAATGTGATGACAGAACTGTGAACAGAATGGCTGAAACTTTAACAAACTAAATAACTCAGTTCCCTCTAATCATCAACCCATGTTTGAATCATTGAGTTAGCTCCGTGTGTTGCTGCTAGCATACATAACACCTGACGTGGAAACGTTACTCGTGGATGGGGCTACAGAGCTACTAGAGAGACAGTCGAACCCGGTGCATTTCTCCGTCTGAACGTGGAGCACTTTTGCAAGATGTTTAGACAAATTTCTCGTGTTACCGCCCTGACATGCTAAACTCTTATTGCACTTTAGGCAACGAGCGAGACGGGTAAAGTTTAACCACACCTCGGAGCGCGTTCTCTCCGCCATCTCCTCCGTGTGTGTGTGTTGCTGCATGGAGCAGCTGCGTGTGTGTAAACTGCCCCGCCCCCTCGCAAGCAGGCGGGGGAGAGAGATCTCTCGTCTGGATTGGAGAGATCGAAAATACTAAAAATGACGCATTTTGCAGTCTTTTTGCGTATTAGAAACGGAGTTGGCGACACTAAAACTGCAATATAATGTTTGTGTAGCAATAATACACATGACATATTTTTTAGATGTCTCCAGTACCGATAAAAAGACCGATAACGTCGGAGCTTAACGGTACCACGGTCTTTAATAATTCAGCCCCGGGGCCCGTTTAATACCGGGGCTCGGTACCCATCCCTACTCACAGCTCTATAAACTACATTACCCATGAGCCTTAGCTGCTTATATACAGTAAAGCTAACGTTACCGTGAGCCGGTCTTTCTCCTGCAGGATGAGGATGCTCTCTCCTTCGCTGTCGATGCCCGCCCGCCCCGCCCGGCCCACCATCTGTTTGTACTGACTCCTCTTCAGGAAGTCTGCTGCCACGTAGGGGGAGCGCAGGATCACCCTGAGGGGGGGGGGCATTTCATATATTACATATGCACCATCATATCATGAGAGAAAGAACGTGACTCAGCATTTACACTGATTTCAGGGACATTTCACACAACACTGTCCTGAGAACATTTCAGAATAAAAGCATGGTTCAGGTTCAGGTTGAATTATTCTGTCTTAAAAACTGAAATGCTTTTATTTGTATTTCATGATGAAGTCATTATATTGTGTTGTTGTTGTTGTTGATATTTTTTCCACCACTTTTTTGGTTTCAATCTTTAAAGCAACTTCAGTCCTAATGAAAAATACAAAATATTTAATCATTTTCAGGATTTTAACCCTTTAAATGCCATTTTGAATACATTAAGTTATTATGTTGTTGTTGTGGTTGTTGGTTGTTGTTGTTGTTGGTGTTGCTGCTGACCTGCGAGCGGGCAGGTTGACCCCTGACTTTAGAGGCATTTACCACATGGAAATATTTCAGAATAAAAGTAGCCGTTGTAAAATTAAGGAATTCTGTCCAAGCTTTTATTTTGAAATGGAAACAACTTTAAATATATATGATCTAATGGCATAGAGAACATGACTCAGCATTACACTGGTGAGAACATTTCAAAATAAAAGCATGGTGTTATCAGATTGAAGGATTCTGTCTTAAAAACAGAAATGCTTGAGCTTTTATTTGTATGTCATTATGAAGTTATTATGCTGTTGTTGTTGTTGTTGTTGTTGCTGTTGTTGTTGTTGTGTTTGCTGACCTGCGAGCGGGCAGGTTGACCCCTGCAGCGAGCGTGGAGGTGCAGGTGAGGAGGCAGAGCGTCCCGCAGGTGTACGCCTCCTCCAGCAGCCTCCTCTCCTCCCCCGTCAGACCGCTGTGATGATAGGCCACTCCGTAAGGAACCGTCCTGCTGAGCACCGGACACACGGAGCCCCGCCCACATTCCTCCAGCTGGGAGAGGAGGAGGAGCTTCTGCTGCTCGTGGAGGAGCAGGAAGTCCCTGAGGAGCCAATCAGAAAGGAGGAGGTGGCAATTAGAGAGGAGGAGGAATCAGAGAGGAGGAAGAACCAATCAGAGGGGATTTTGACTCTGTAAAATATATAAATAATAGTTTTTATTCTATTTTATCTTTTTATTGCACTTTTTTCCTTTTATGCTTTATATAAATATTTGTATTCTATTTACTTTTTATATTCTACCTTGATTTTTATTTTTTTTATTATACATTTGTACTTTTTGCATTTATATAAATTTTTTTTTTTTACATATTACATTTTGTTCATATTTTGTAAGTCACGTCACTCGCCCTGCACCCCTCACTCACTCTCTCTCTTTATAAAGAATACAATCAGAAAAGGTAATAACTAATAAATATTTTAAATATAAATAAATGAATAAAATAACTATAAAAATGTAAATAATAATAATGTATTAAATAATAATAAATATAAATAGATATACACCCACTCACTTCCTGAGGTATCTGCAGATCAGCGCTCCCACATTCTCACAGTTCTTCTTCGTGGGGCAGAAAACCAGACAGGAGTGTTTTGGGATGACTTCGGTCACCATGGCGATGATGTGGTCCGGGTCCAGCTTCTGCATGGAGCTGGAGTACTGGAGTTTCAAAATAAAAGCTTTAACAATATATACTGACGGAGTTTCAAAATAAAAGCATCAACAATATGTACTGACGGAGTTTCAAAATAAAAGCATCAACAATATGTACTGACGGAGTTTCAAAATAAAAGCATAAAAAATGTGTACTGACGGAGTATCAAAATAAAAGCATACAAAATGTGTACTGATGGAGTTTCAAAATAAAAGCATCAACAATATTTACTGACGGAATTTCAAAATAAAAGCATCAAATATATGTACTGACGGAGTTTCAAAATAAAAGCATCAACAATATGTACTGACGTTGTTTCAAAATAAAAGCATCAACAATATATAGTGACGGAGTTTCAAAATAAAAGCATCAACAATATGTACTGACGGAGTTTCAAAATAAAAGCATAACAAATGTGTACTGACGGAGTATCAAAATAAAAGCATACAAAATGTGTACTGACGGAGTTTCAAAATAAAAGCATCAACAATATGTACTGACGGAGTTTCAAAATAAAAGCATAACAAATGTGTACTGACGGAGTATCAAAATAAAAGCATACAAAATGTGTACTGACGGAGTTTCAAAATAAAAGCATCAACAATATTTACTGACGGAATTTCAAAATAAAAGAATCAAATATATGTACTGACGGAGTTTCAAAATAAAAGCATCAACAATATGTACTGACGTTGTTTCAAAATAAAAGCATCAACAATATGTTCTGACGGATTTACAAAATAAAAGCATCAACAATATGTACTGACGGAGTTACAAAATAAAAGCATCAACAATATGTACTGACGGAGTTTCAAAATAAAAGCATCAACAATATGTACTGACGGAGTTTCAAAATAAAAGCATCAACAATATGTACTGACGGAGTTTCAAAATAAAAGCATCAACAATATGTACTGACGGAGTTTCAAAATAAAAGCATCAACAATATGTACTGACGGAGTTTCAAAATAAAAGCATCAACAATATGTGAATATTGTCCGTACCTTGAAGTTGAGGAGACGAGAGAATTTGAAGCAGTCCTCCTCCTTTGGGTCTACTTCATAGATGGTGTCTTGCAGTTTAACGTACTCCTTCAGCTGCACCTGAACACACCACAGACCAGCTTCTTTAAACACCTGTTGGTGGTATATTCATTAATATCAGTATTTCACAGTAAATCCCTTACAGGCCGGAAGTCATTGCTGTAGTTTTCTGCTCTTAAAAACGTCTGCAGGTCTTTAATGTTTCCCAGCGTGGCGCTCATCCCGATAATCTGAGTGGATTCTGGAGAATAAAACAAAAAGACGGTTAATTCAAAGCTTTTTAAGGGTTTAATAAGGAAGATTAAAGCGTCTCTTACTGGCCGTGTAGAGAACTTTAGCGAGCGTCATCTCAATGATCGCTCCTCTGCTGCCGTCGCCCAACATGTGAAGCTGCAACACAGAGGAAACATGTAAACGCCAGGTAGGGCGGTGCATTCAGAGAACAGAATAACCAAGTATAATGTTGTAAATTAATTAAGAAAATGTAAGAAGATTAAAGTGGTACATTTTGAGGGAAAATGTCGATATCTGTTCAGAATAAAAAAGGGACATTTTAGGGACATAAATCGCCATTTTACTAGAAAACAATAAAACAAAAAATTGAATAATGTTCTGGATACAAATTGTCATATTTAAGATTTTAGTCTAAAATGTATTCTTTTTTAAAACAAGGACATTTTGAGATTAAAGTCGTGAATCTGGTGGAAAATTACTTCAGATATTTTCAGAAATAAAGTGGAATATTTACAAAAATAAACTCACAGATGCACTAGAAAAGACCTTTGATAATATCTGAGAAAAAGTTGAAAAGATTCTGTAAAAACTCTGAGATTTAAGATTAATATTCTTTGAGGTTAAAATTGTAAATTTAGGAGAAAAATTCAAATATTTTTTTAGATTGAAGTCGGAAATTTAGGGGGAAATCACACAATATCTTCTGAAATAAAGTGGATTATTAACGTAAAAAAAACGTCTGAGATTTCAGATTACATGTATGATAAACAAACATTGATATACTTTGAGATTAAAGTTGTTATTTCAGAGTTGACCACCAGCCTTCCTCCCCACCTCGTCCACCACCACCAGCCCCAGGTCGTCGATCCTCTGGTTCTCGATCAGCGAGTTCACGAGGCTGTGGGCTTTTTCTATCGTCGCGACGTAAAGAGACCTCCTGTCTTTCCTCTTTACGGGGGGGAACCTTCCTTACTGCCGGCGTACTCCTCCACCAGGAAGTCCAGCTCCACGCCGAAGCTCGCCAACCCTCGCACCTTCAGAGGAGACAGGAAGGAGGTCAAAGAGGGAGGAGAAGAGAGGGTTTTAGAGGACAGGCGTCCCACAGGGCTCTAATCCTGGTCCTCTTCTATTTACTGCGATATCATAATTTCTACCAAACTGCAACAAACGTTTCTGTGCAGATGACACCATGTGATCCTCCATATGGAGTCAATAGAGAAACGCAGGGGAGAGCCTTCAACTCTGGAATCAGCACTTTGTGTCCTTGTCTTAAAGTCGACTTAAAACTTTTTCTTTTCATGAATATTTATTTTTTATTAAACTATACTTTTTATTCCTCTTTACATTTTCAACATTTACTTATACCATGTTTTATGTAATTTTAATTCGATATTTAACTTAATAATTTTTTTTTATTATAGATTATATAATTTAATTAAATTATATTTCAGATTTTTTTTTTTTAATATTAACTTATTTATTTATTCCTCCCTACCTTCATCCTGTCCCTCCTCCCTTCTCCTGTCCTCCCCCTCCCTTCTCCTGTCCTACCTCCCTTCTCCTGTCCTCCTTCTCCTGTCCTCCCTCCCTTCTCCTGTCCTACCTTCTCCTGTCCTACCTCCCTTCTCCTGTCCTACCTTCTCCTGTCCTCCCTCCCTTCTCCTGTCCTACCTCCCTTCCTTCTCCTGTCCTCCCTCCCTTCTCCTGTCCTCCCTTCTCCTGTCCTCCCTCCCTTCTCCTGTCCTACCTTCTCCTGTCCTCCCTACCTTCTCCTGTCCTCCCTACCTTCTCTGTCCTCCCTCCCTTCTCCTGTCCTCCCTCCCTTCTCCTGTCCTACCTTCTCCTGTCCTCCCTACCTTCTCCTGTCCTCCCTACCTTCTCCTGTCCTCCCTTCTCCTGTCCTCCCTTCCTTCTCCTGTCCTCCCTACCTTCTCCTGTCCTCCCTCCCTTCTCCTGTCCTCCCTTCTCTTGTCCTCCCTACCTTCTCCCTGTCCTCCCTTCCTTCTCCTGTCCTCCCTTCCTTCTCCTGTCCTCCCTCCCTTCTCCTGTCCTCCCTACCTTCTCCTGTCCTCCCTACCTTCTCCTGTCCTCCCTCCCTTCTCCTGTCCTCCCTCCCTTCTCCTGTCCTCCCTACCTTCTCTGTCCTCCCTACCTTCTCCTGTCCTCCCTACCTTCTCCTGTCCTCCCTCCCTTCTCTGTCCTCCCTACCTTCTCCTGTCCTCCCTACCTTCTCCTGTCCTCCTCCCTTCTCCTGTCCTCCCTACCTTTCTTGCCTCCCTACCTTTCCTGTCCTCCCTTCTACCTGTCACTCCTACCTTCTCCTGTCCTACTGTCCTCCCTACCTTCTCCGTCCTCCCTGTCCTCCCTACTTCTCCTGTCCTCCTACCTTCTCCTGTCCTCCCTACCTTCTCCTGTCCTCCCTACCTTCTCCTGTCCTCCCTCCCTTCTCCTGTCCTCCCTT